AGGGAGGCTTTGTTGCGTTACTCTTGAGCATGAGTCCAGTTCGTGATGGTGGTATCGATGGAGATGATGACGATATTGCTGATACAGTGTTGGAGACGGTGGCAGTGATGTCAGTGTTGGTGGTGACAGTGGTGGTGGTGACAGTGGTGGTGGTGTTGGTATTGGTGGTGACAGTGACGGTGGCGATGATGTCGGTGTTGGTGGTGACAGTGGTGACGATGTCGGCGTTGATGATGGAGATCGTGGTGCCGACGACGCTGCCTTTGGCGACGAGCGTAGCGGCAGTTTTGACAATGATAGCGACCAGGACTTGTCTGATACCGATTATGAGCCTTTTACGGGTGACAGCGAGCAGCTCCTGATTGAGGCAGCTGAGAAACTGCTTCGCCAAGCTCTTAGAAACAGCGTCGAAATACTTGTACTTCATCGAAGGCGGGCACGTTATCGTCGGTTGCGGCTACTCACTCGTGTCGTCGCGTGCACACCCGCCATTGAGATGAGACAGCAAGAAAAGGAAACCCTTCACACACCTGTTCCAAGTGCTCGCTTCAACATTAACTCTTTATCAGACAACGAGTGTTTGGATAGGTTCGTTTTCGTAAGTTCGCCTTGGCATCTTACTCTGGAAATATCAAATACCGGCACTTTTTTCGACGTTGGAGGGATACCGGTTATCTGCCATTGAAGGTCTGTGTATTACACTCGAGCGTCTGAGTTATCCGTCACGCTGGTGGGAGCTGAGAAACAAGTTTGGCCGATCTGAAAGCAATTTGAGCTCCGTGTCCTATTACGTGTGTGAGTACATTACACGGCGTTGTGCTCCTCTACTAGACGGTGATTGGGACCGTATCAGCCTCCGTCTACAAGACTTTGCTTCCGCCATTCATGCAAAGGGAGGAGAGCTCTGTAATGTTTGGGGTTTTATCGATGATACCGTTTGACCAATCTGTCGTCCTGGGGACAGCTTGGAGCAGAGTGCGATGTATAGCGGGTACAAACGCATACACGCCGTGAAATACCAGGCAGTGACGACTCCAGATGGCATGATTGCCCACTTGTTTGGGCCTGCCGAAGGCCGTTCGCACGACTTGACTTTGTTGGAAGCTTCTGATCTTGAAGAGACCATCAAGAATGATCACCGTTTCGATGGTTATTTAATTTATGAAGACCCCGCGTACGGTCAAACAGACGTGTTTGCATCTCCTTTCTAAAGAACAGGTGCTGCACGTGAAGAAAGCGCTGTGAACGCTTCGATGAGCTCGGTTCGAATTGCTGTGGGATGGGGCTTTGGCCAAATTATTAGCGAGTGGGCAATGCTGGACTTCAAAAAGAAGATGAGTATTGGAAACGTTCCTGTCGGAATGCTTTACCAGGTTGCAACTATCTTGACAAATTGTGTGACGATTGCGAGGCACCAAAATGTCATTAGCAGCTACTTTGACGTGCCGCCACCCAATTTTCAGGAGTTTTTTGCGTGCACGGCTGACTAACTAGCGGACCATTAGTGCAAGGCACTTGAATTACAGTGGGAGCGAAAATTAACTATTTCAAAATCGATGAATTAATCGTCGGATAGTGGCCGCTGTGGTGACGCCCACGCTTAAAAAAAATCAAAAACTGCGCAACATGAAGTCGCGATAGGAGAGGTTGCAGCAAGCTACTGGCGGTTGGTTCGAGGTGTGTTGCTGCTCACCAAAAAATCAACGAGCATTTTGGTTTGGTTGGACAAGCCTTCGACAACTCGGGTAAGGTCCCGGTCTCTTGCTGCTTGAGCGCACCTCTCCCTTTCCATCCGTTCTTCCTCTTTGACCCATATCTCGCTGACACGAAGTCGCTTCCTGGTAATCGGCGGCTCCTCCTCCTCCTCCTCTTCCTCGATGTCTTCGTCAACACAAATACGCTCATCATCTTCTTCATGCTTGTGTTCTTCGACTTCTAATGCATAGCCCTCGCCTCCGCTGCTGTAGTCAC